GAAACAAGAGGCGGATAAGAAGGAGGCGGATCGAAGGAAAGCGGAGGAGGAGAGGCTTCGGGTCGAGGGTCCAAAGGTCGCCGAAAGCAAAAGGGCGAAAGCCAATGCTCTCGCCGCAGGTCTGGTGAAAACGCCGCAGGAGCGGAGAGAGGAAGAAGCCCGCGGGTTAACACCAGAGATGCGGATGAAGCTGGAGCGCGAACGTAGAGCACGTGCGGCTGAGGAGAGGCTCCGAAAGATGCAGGGCAAATAAGACCGTTTCTCGCTAAAAATATGCAATCAGTCAACCAATCGAGATCTGATGCCGTTTCACAGAAATCTTCCCGTTCGAGGTGTGACTTGAAGCTTGTATCAACAAATCTAGTCCCATCATCTTCGTCGGAGTGCACAAAGAATTCTATGTGAGCTTGATAGAGTTGAATTCGTCTGTTTTTTCTTCTTCTTCGCCTTGCAGAGCTTGTTCTTATCCTTTGGGAGCCCAAGTTTACTATCTCGTCTGACAGAAGCTGGCTGGCCCCCTTTCCACTAGCGGCCAGCTTTGCCAACTGCTTGATATCTTGGCGATTCCATCGAGTTACCGATGATTCTCTCAACCATCATGTTTTATAGAATGACCTCACTGCCGGTGGACAAACCGCGCGCTATGAAAGTCAGCCGCAGAATGCAAATCATCATGTGCGCACAATCGTTGCGCCTGTGAACGGCGAGTCCCCTCACCGACTGTCCGCCTTCCGGATCAGGGTTTGGTGATATCGTCGCGATGTTTTGGCTCTCAATCACAGTAGGACATTGTTTAGAGACAATGGTATATATAAAAATCAAGATGTTGGTCATCTTCTGCAAGATAATCATAGCATGGCCCTATCATCGTCGAGTCATATTGATTCTACTACTTCACAGAAAGTATCTGCGGAGCTTCTATATGCCCATCAACCCCAAGGCAATGCCGTCTCGAACAAACCTATCGAAGATGACTGGCTGTAAAGCCTGCGGCCTGAACTACACGGGGGCTGCCAAGGTGTGCCAGTGCGTGAAGAGGGACAGCCAGAACTTCCACCAGGCTGGCGGCCATCAGTACGGCACCTCGCTAGGACAATCTGCTCCCAAGAGGCTCAAGGTCGCCCCTGACAAGCATGGAAAAGCTCCGGGGGAGCAGGGCATTCCGTAACAGGCAGTCGGGTCATGGCATGCCTGACAAAGGAGGAGTCCATGGCCGGGCTAGAAGATTGAGAATACGACGTGAGGTAGGAAAATGGGAACGTGGCGCAGCGCAGTTCCCATGCCGGGCTGCTTGTCAAATGACGGTTAATGCGGCTTGACTCATGAGAAGAACGGCATAGCTTAGAGCTCCAAAATGCAATTTCGGTCCCGACGACAAAAATCAAAGTGTGGCACACGCTGGGGGAGAGGTCAGCGCTCCCCCATGCGCATGGCGCATAGTGTTCCCATCCTCATGCCGGATACCGCGGGAAATTTTATTATTCAACGACATTACTCCCGTGATGTGTACAAGATATTCATAGAAACCCATCCCGCGCGTGTATTACTGCATCCTAGACCTCCACGAGATGCTGGACCTGCCGGGGATATAATCCAGCCGCGTGGGAGGATTTGGGTGTGCCACCATGTGGCTAAAGGAGGGAAGGTTCAACTCCGAATCCTGGAGATAGATGGATTCATAACTGGGGAAATGTGCTTTTTTGTGCTTTTCATAGTGTTTTTGATCACGAATAGACTCGGGATTAAGACTCCTGGGTCGCGGATACTCACGACCCCTGAAGGGCTTTTCGTCCGGGAAGGAAACAAGGTAGCATCGGGACCCATGTTCCTGCATATCGGCTCAACAACATGACACAAATGCCGGCTCTCGGATTCGTTTGTCTCCTTGTAGCAGCTACTACGGTCCATGGTCGCCAAAGGGGTCGTCGCCTGAATCTAGACAGTTCTGAACCGTATTCGATCTCCGTCCGCACCGGATGTAGCTAGGGAGCTTTTATGAGAGCGGAAATACAGTATCAATAGCTGGCCTGGGACGTTGTAGTATCTATGGAGTATAAATTTCCTGGCCGTTATTAATATTGGCCGGTAGAGCAATGCCGGTTGTCCCAAAGCTCCAGTTCGACGGTAGAGACTCTCTGGTGGAGGATGGGCTTGGCTTCCTATCCGGGACATGGCTGGGGCGGCACTCCCATGATGTGCTCTAGTAATACTGGCCCCTACTGCAAAAAGAAAGCTCCCACCACATTGGTCCTAAGGCCAAACCAGGATGTGACCTCGTATTGCCAGATTCAGGTGGCCGGGGTCTTGGATTGGGCCACCTGAATGATCATATCCACAACGGCCAGAGCATGGCCAGCACAGACGAGGGGGGCATGATCTACAGGTCCATGTCGCATGTCGCACCTACAGTGTTGTTGAATGCGACGGCCGAACTGACACGCCCTGAATCAGACATGATGCCTCGTCTCAGCAGGAGAATTCGCCTAAGGAGTTCGAAAATACTCCCCGGTCCCAGCTCGCAATGGAACGTGGGAGATGTCTCGCAGCAGTCCCGGGGAGGATTCCCAGGACACAGGTAGCAAGCCACAGCAGGTGGGATGCGCCCAAGCCACTGCTGTAGAGAGTGAGTCGAGTGAATCAGCAAGTTCTGGGTGCCAAGGGAGGATTCCCACTTGCCGAATACCGGCGTGTTTCATCCCCTGTCGTCAACGAACACATCACGATGATATGATAATTCGAGCCTAATAATAACTCGCCCGGCCTCTGATATGCACATGGTTGTCATTCAGTAACTAGTCTTCTAGCTTTGCGATGTGCCAATGGGAGCTTTCGGGTATTATGTTGACCACATGGCTGACGGCGATCAGTCTGATAGGAAGATGAGGTAGCAGAGCAGGATTGAACATCCCACGAACCGATGGGGTAAGTGAGATAAAAATAAAGGAAATTAGTGATTCAATGTGAAGGGACGGTTGATAGAGAGAGTGACATATTAAGAAATCTTCAAAGCATAGGCTGAGAGGATAGCCGTGAGGTCTTGAGAGCAGCTCTCTCGTTGGGCTCTGGATGCAAGCTGAGTTGACTTCAGGGTAGGTGGACATGCAGCAGGTGTGGCATCATGCTGGCAAACTCCAAACCAATGGATCGGTGTGATGGCTGTGCAGCTTAGCGCCTCACCTCACCTCACGCAGCTCGATTAGACTGGCGGGTGGGTGTGGCGTGTTTCTGATTCCGGTGATGTGGTAGTCAAACGAGTGGCCGAATTGGTGACGGCCAGCCAGGGGTTGTGCCGTACGTGGGCACGGGCAGCCCAAACGCTATGCCTCTTCCTGCCTTCTTCCTCCTCCTCCATCCCCACGAACAACCACTCACGAACCGGCCCCTTGCAGGACTGAGCAGGGCCCCTCTCACCCGTCATGGTGCCTGGTGGTGCCAACGGTGAGTGCGCAACGTCCGCCGCCCCCATTGGCTGGATGCTCCCGGTCCCGCCGTACCTGCAGATGTCTCGCCCTCAAAGCGACGTTGAAGCATCACATCCAGCGCTTTACCCCGTCTGATCTAGCATGCTTTGAGCCCGGAGCCATGTTTCAACCCAGGCGAACGTCCTTTTGTGGCAAGGTTAAACGGCTCTTCGTGTTGGAACTGGAACTCGCTGGCCCGTTTGGAACACCACGCTAGAACTGTCAGCTTGATTCTGAGTGCGACGCACTGACCAGAGGAGATTTAGGCCCCTGCGACTTCCCCAGTCCTATCTTTTTTTCTCCGTGAGACCTGTCGCCCAGGCCTGGTTATGCCAAGATGCAGCACCGGATATGCGGCGCTTGGACGCAAAATCGAACGCTGCTCTCGCGCGAGCCATTAGTCGATACATCGAGAGAAAAGGTTGCTTTCAAGCAGAGATGGGCAAGATGAGATGGCACTCTGCGGACGGCTGTGCGTCCCGCGCCAGAGGAGCAGGAATAGGATCGGGCGCTCTTCGCAGTCGCCTACTAAGGCAAAGCTTCCTGGGCCTGGCTAGCCAACCGCCGATACGACCTCCCACCTACAACCACAACAGGTAGGCAAAAAGGGATCCATCCACAATCCACGGAGTAGCCATCTACTACGTAGCACCAGAGAGCATGTCCGAAGAGTGGGCCCGGTCCCTTAACCCCCGGCATTGTCACCTATTCTACCGCGCGACAACCAAGACAAGCCAAGACCAAGACAAGACACACCCCGGACTTCTATCGCATCTGCTCTTAGCTTGAGCTGTTGCGTTCGGCCATTCGGCAGCGGTCTCTATCCGCCCAGCTCAGACCACCACCATACCATTCCATACCACTCAACTGAAACATGGTTAGCCTGGACGATAGAGCCGTCGACCATCCTCCTTCCAAGCAGGATGGCCCCCTGCCCTCCGGCTTCTCCTTTCTCCTGTTGCCCCCATGAGCAACTCCATGCGTCTTGGGCTAGGGTTCCAGTTTGTGCAAGGGGCCTTGGGGGTTTCCTGCAGTTTTTCTTTTGTCCGCACCATGTATGCTGATATAGCCTACTGGGGCGTGACTAAGGATCAACCCACCTACATGACATCGTGCCCAACAAGGCCGCAGGGCTTTACTATCGGATCCAACCTAATCAAAACTCTCTTTGGGTTGAGAGAGCCGAAAGGGGCTGAAGGGCTAGCCACCGCACCATCCGGGACCCATGGCATGGCATGGCCCAGATGCATCGGCAAGCGCTCGCTGGCACATCACCGGCCACTTTCTGCTGCTGGCTGACTGCCTATATAGACCTCATCCCGTCTCTCCCCTCCTTCTGCTTCCCTTCTCGACAAGCCTTTCTCAGCTCATCTTCTTTCTCTTGTTTGCAATACATCTCTTTGACAGGGTTTCAAAGTCATTCGCTCATCTTTGGCCCAATTTCACTCTTGATATAATCTTATACTGTAAATTCTACAACCACTTTCGCTCAACAACGAAATACCCTCGCTCAGAACACCAACCCAAACCATCTTCAACATGAAGAACTCAATGGCCCTCCTGGCGATGGCCGCCAGCTTCGGCCCTGCCACTGCCACTGTAAGCTTGCACCCACTTCTATGCATGAAAGGGAGATCATTCACTAACCCCGACCGCTCTAGTTCAACTTCGGTTCCAACTGGCAGAACGCTGGTTCCTTTACCTGCCCTGGCAACTCCAACAACGAGTGCAAGGACGAGTACAAGGGAGGATTTGACTGGAGCGACCTGACTACCGGTTCCTTCAGCTCCTACAATGGCTTCAACTTCAAGGGCTGGTCCTGCGGAGAGAGCGCAGCTTGGGGCAAGAGGACCGGCGGTAGCAAGGTGATCAAGGCTAGCTGTGGCAAGGAGTCTACCCCCTCATTCGGCTGTGGCTCCAACTCTGGTGTCGATAAGTTCACTGTCAGCCACTTCGACATTGATGTCGAGTTTGACTGCCGTCTTGAGTTCCACTACAAGATGCCCGGCGGCTCCACCTGCAAGCAATCCTCCAGCTGCAAGAAGGGTGGAAACAAGATCTCCAACTCCCAGTGCGGTGGTGCTACCGATGTTGAGATTCACTGGCCTGTCCAGGACTCTCCCAAGCCCAGCTGTGACATCCAAATCCCCTCCATTGGCTTCGACTGTGGCGACCACACTCCCCCCAAGACTACCTCTGTTCCTGTCGTGAGCAAGACCAAGACTCACCCCGGCGGTGGTCATGGCACTACCAGCACTGCTGTTGTTCCCTCCAAGTCTCACCCTGGCGGTCCCGAGAGCAGCTCAGTCGTTCCCTCCAAGTCGCACCCCGGTGGCCCTGAGAGCAGCTCTGTTGTTCCTTCCAAGTCGCACCCCGGTGGCCCTGAGAGCAGCTCTGTTGTTCCCTCTAAGTCGCGCCCTGGCAGCTCTGTTCCCACCAAGTCCCACCCCGAGACCACCCCCATCCCCTCCAACACCGGCTCCTCTGTGATCCCCAGCCAGTCCTCTCCCGCTACCACCCCTGGCGGCCCTGAGACCACCTCCGCTCCCGTGCCATCAACCTCTGAGGGTAACAGCCCATCTTCTTCCGAGGAGAGCAGCTCGTCCACCACCGAGGAGAACGGTCCCTCCACCACTGGCGAGAACAGCCCTTCCACCACTGGAAACAACAGCCCCTCTTCTCCTTCCGAGACTCAGAGCGTTCCCGAGACAACCATCACTACCACCTATGACAGCACCTCAACCATCTTTACCACCACCACCAAGACCATCACTTCTTGCGGTCCTGAGATCCCTGACTGCCCTGCTAGTGGTACTCCCAGCACTCCCATCATTGTGACCGAGACTGTCCCAGTGACCACCACTGTCTGCCCTGTCACCGAGACCATTGTCCCCTCGCACACTTCTGGCAACTCCCCAGTCCAGTCGTCCAAGCCCCCCTCTTCCGGCTCCCCCTCTTCCGGCTCTGTTCCCTCTGCTTCTCACACTTCTGGCAACTCCCCGGTCCCCACCGGAACTCCCGACTCTCCTCTTCCTTGCCCCGATGTCGTTCCCAAGTGTCTCAACTCTTGGCTCCACCTTGTTGAGCAGTGCTCCAACAACCTGGATGTTGCTTGCTTCTGCCCCAACTCCGACTTCGTTGAGAAGACCTTCCAGTGTATCTACTCTTACGGTGGAAGCGACGACATCGTTGCCGAGGCTGCTGCTTTCTTCCAGGGTATGTGCGCTGGCTACGTTGGCGAGAACCCTGCTATCGTCACTGGCATTGACACCATCACCAACATCCTCACTGTCACTGGAACTCCCGTTGTCTCCGTTCCCTACACCACTATCGTGATCGAGACCACCCTCACTGAGCCTTGTGTCACCGGTGGCACCACCATCCCTGGCAGCAGCACCACCAAGACCATCTCCACTGAGGTCACCATCCCCAACATCTCGGTGCCTTCCGCCACTGCCACCGCCACTGCCGGTCCTTCCACCACTGGAGCCAACAGCCCTGCCAACCCCACTGCTTCCACCCTCACCACCAAGCCTCCTGTTGGCACCATCAGCCAGGTCGTTCCTACCACCAAGCCCACCGGTGTCCCCATCGCTGCTGGTAACAACGTCAAGGCAAGCCTGGGTCTTGGCCTGGCCGCCATGCTCTTCGCCGCCGCTATGTAAAGCAGCCGCCTCTCCTTGGAAATCACCATTTCATTATACTGTTGTATAATTTCAGACATAATTGTTCTGTAAAAAGTTAAAAGCACACATGGACAACAACCTCTTCACGAGGCTAATTCCTTTCTTACGATCCTTACGAAAATACCATTTATTAGAGAAGAGAGTGGAGGACCCTGTTCAATAGACCCAGATTGGTCTATGAGTCCTCCGGGAGCGCACAACACGGGCATACTACCGGCTGTGCTGGTTTTGTAATAATAATACGTGGCTTTTTGACATAGTTTAAATAAATGAGACCGTGTCCATAATATCTTGAGCAATGCCTGGTGATTTGTCCTTTGTTTTCGTAGTCTGATGATTATTAGGAGTAATGAGTAGTTGTGGTATACATAGTGGTATTGTGATGCTAGCCTGATACTATTCACCGGCTGACCACAATGGTTGCATTCCTTGGTTTCATGTCTTGGGCGGCTTGTTTGAGAGCGAATGTCGAGTGTTGATGCTAAATTCATTATACCTTGGCCTCGTGGTTTCCCAGCAGCCTCTACCCCGATTAGGAGGCAACCCACTGCGTTCACATACGAGTCGAGATTTGATGGGAACTGCCATTCCGAGTCATATACCATATATCATTAAGTACAAATAAATCCTTCGCTAGCGGTCGTTCACGATGTCGCCCATACACGCACAACAGAGCCAATGGCTTGCTTTGAAGACTCGGCCCCGGCACTCTTCAGACCCAGGCGGATGAGGTTGAGTGCCTGGCTTCCCAGAAACAGCGGCAGCTTCAGGCTCTGAGCCTCATTTACCGCCGCCTCCAGCTCGGAGGCTATCGATTGGAGCGTGGCCTCTCCCGAACCGGACTCTGCGGCCCATCCGCCCTGCGCCTTGCCCTCCACAAATGCCTTGAGAAACGACGGGCCGACCGTCGAGAGGATCCGGCTGCCCCCTGCCGCGTTGATGCACAGCTCAAACACTTGGTCCAGATCCAGGCCGACGTGCTGGCCAAATGCGATGGTCTCGGCTGCGGAGCACAGGTGAATGCCGCGGAGCAGGTCGATAACGAGCTTCAGCTTCTCCTCGTTGGTCGAGGCGGTGCCCTGGACGGGGCCGACCTTGCCCTTGCCTTCGGTGTAGAGGCGGATCAGGCTGGCGTCATCATCGGGCCCGTACCCTCTCCCAAGACCGGAGAAGTACACCTGCTCGGCTGTGGACGTCATCGGGGTGGCGAAGCCGGCCCGTCTGGCCTCGGACGTGATGATGCTGGTGTCCTTGAGGATGATGGTGAGGGCGCTGGCTATGGGCTTGAACTCCGGGTGGAGGAGGCGCGGGAGCCTGTTCTCTAGCATCCAGCTCCAGCCGTCCGACTTGACGAGGGCCTCGCCGGCCGAGCGCAGGTCCAGCCCCAGGTGGTCCGCGAAGCCCAGGGCCTCGCTGGCCGAGAGGATCTGGTTGGCGGCGAGGACCTGGTGGCACATCTTCATGTTGCTCCCGGCCCCGATGCCGCCCTTTACGATGTACAGCTTGGCCGGGTCGGACATGGCCTGTAGGACGGCGCGGCCCTTGGCGATGGCGGCGTCTGAGGCTCCCGCCATGATGGACAGGGTGCCGTCGGCGGCGCGGATGGCTCCCCCGGATACGGGGCAGTCGACCAGGTGGACGTCGCCGCGGCCTCGCTCGGCCAGCTGGCGCTCGAGGCTCTGGACGTAGGCGCAGGGGACGGTGGAGCACAGGAGGAGGACGGCACCCTTGGGGAGGCTGGGCAGGGCGGCGTGCTCGCTGTCGAGCAGGACGGACTGGGCCTGCTGGGCCGTGGCGACCATGCAGACGCAGACGTCCTTGCCCTCGACGGCGCTGGCGGGCGTCGTCGCTGCCAGGCCTCCGGCCGCGGTGAAGCGGTCGAGGGTCGGGCCGTAGACGTCGAAGCCGGTGACGGGGTAGCCCTCCTTGACGAGGTTGGTGGCCATGCCGAAGCCCATGGCTCCGAGGCCGATGAAGGATATGGCCGGCTTTGCGTCTGCCATGATCAAGTCTGTGGATCTGTCGATAAGGGAGTGACGGGTAGAGGTGCGAGAGTCAGAAGTCGGCCCCTTTGGCGATGAGTGAGCGTCAATCAGTCGATGGAGCAAATGCTTTTCATTAAATGCCTTTCGATCCACCCAGTCTTAAGCTTCTTATGACAAGCCCCTCAAGCACAGCCCGTCCGCTCGTCTCGGCAATTGAGCGCAGCGGAGTGAGGAGAAGCGAGCTCCATGGTTGGGTCGCATCAGTCGAGACTGTAAGAATGCTGGAGCAGCGTCCAAAGATCCTGTTAGTCGGGCCCGTTTTGGCTCCACCTCGTCGCATCGGTCCCCTCTGAAGGTCTGAAAGTCGTGGCTTTCCTCCGATTCGGCGATGATGCGACGATGGAGTCGCGTCGGAGGTTTCGCCGCCAAGTCGCAGGTTTTTGGTTCTCGGTAGCTGGACTGATGCCAATGCTCAACGCCAGAAAACCGCGGGCTTGGCATCTCATAAACTGAAGCTGAAGAACATGTCTTGTCCGACTGGTGCATTTCATTTCGCTCAATGCTACCTTGCCTAACCGCCGTCATTTCACCCTCCGCATTCTGCCTGATTAAGAGCGTCTCAGCACTCCTCTTCATCCATCATTTAATTACATCTCCCACTTACATACTCTAAACCCTTCACAAGTTCTGTCTTTCTGATCATATTCATCCCGCGTCTGCGAGACGATTTTCTTTATTTCCTGTTTCTATCTGAATCGGTTCGGTTCGGTTCACATACACACAGCCATCATGCCCCGCCCGCCTTTAGAGCAGAATCGCACCCTCAAGATTCTCAATGCCGCTCGAGATGGCGGATATGCAGTAGCAGCCATGTGCTGCTACAACATCGAGTCCGTCGTGGCCACCGTCCGCGCGGCCGAGGCCACCAAGTCGCCGGCCATCGTCCAGCTCTTCCCCTGGGCCATTGAGTACGCCGGCGATGCCCTCGTCTTAGCCGCCGCGAACCTGTGCCACTCGGCCTCAGTCCCCATGTCGCTGCACCTGGACCACTGCCAGACTCCCGAGCTGGTGCGCAGAGCCGCCAACATCCCGGATGGATTTGACAGCATCATGTGCGATATGAGCCACTATGAGAAGGAGGAGAACCTGGCGCTGACCAAGGAGCTTGTGGCATACTGCCACGAGCGTGGAATCGCCACGGAGGCCGAGCCCGGCCGGATCGAGGGAGGAGAAGACGGCGTCGCTGAGACGGTCGACCTGGAGGGCGTCTTGACGACGCCCGAGCAAGCTGAGGAGTTCGTGGCGACGGGCATCGAGATGCTGGCGCCCGCGTTTGGGAACGTACATGGCGAGTACGGGCCCCGCGGCATCATCCTCGAGTATGACCGCCTCGAGTCCGTACATAAAGCTGTGGGCGACCGGGTGCGGTTGGTCCTGCACGGCGCGGACCCCTTCACTCCTGAGATTTACAACCGGTGTATCAAGGCCGGCGTGGTCAAGATCAACATCAACAAGGGCATGAACAACCACTACGCCGCTTCGCAGGAGGAGACGCGGGGGAAGCCCATCACGGCGGTTATGGAAGCCGGCACCAAGAAAATGCAGGCGGCGATTGAGCAGTACACGATATGGTTTGGTTCAGCGCAGAAAGCATAGATAGAAAATGAGATGAACTTTGAATTGCATTTGAAGGGAGTGAGAAGGGTTTACTTTTAAACCCGTGAAATTACATTGAAGAAATTTCATATTATCGGCTTCGTTCAAGATCTTCTACGGTTCGATTTGTATATCTTAGTGTCGTAAATCTTGGTCCATCGGAGAATAATGTTTATAAAGCTTGCAGTTTACTGTAAGATGAAGAAAAAAAGGTTGAATGGTTCAATAAATTTACCGTTCAGCTGAGAGCTTATGATTTTGTTCAACACAGACCCTGCTCATCGATCTGGAGTATAAGTGAATTGGTTAAGGAATAAAGACTTTGGCATGAAATATGGCTTTTATCGCAGAGAAACAAATCAACAGGTATTTATAGGCAAGACCACTTATAATGCAAACATATCTTGATAGTAAAATGATCCTGTCAATTACATGGCAGGGTTGAGATATCTTCTCGATCTTGAGTGAGCAGCCCAACTCAACCTCGGCTTATCCCCGATGAAGGCCCCGTAACGGTTTATTTACAGGCAATATTACTGCTGAGAAGCACTGAGTAACCGCCGAGACTTCCCCGCATTCTTCAGTCAGGAGACCGGGGGCGTTGATTGGCTGCATCTCCATCCAGAGGAAGCCCCCGGACGCCATTCCCGTTTGTGAAGAAACTCCGGGGCTAGTGCCAGTCTGTTTTTATGAATTCAGTGTACAGAGGTAGTATTAGTATTATGTAGTATTATTTGAGTAGTGTGTGACGTGCTTCAGCAACCGTTCTGACTCGCCAGCCTGTCCCAATGGGCACCCCTGAGACCTCCCGATCTCATCTCACTTCACCTTGTTAGCCCCGGCAGATTCATCCAAGTTTTCATCATCTTGTCTTTCATTTGTCTAGATTCACACCGTCTCACCTAAACTCCCATCAGCTCACGCTGCCCTTCTTTTCCCGCCATGGTGTTTTATCCACCCAGCTGGGTGCCAGATTTACCTCGTAAGCAGCTCCCCATACAATGACGTCTTTCAGACCTTTCTATCCTGCTATACCTGCAGCTCTTCTAACTGCCCGATTGTCCAGATATTCCCGACTCCATCTCACTTGAAGACTTTCTGAGCCATGAAAAACATGGCCGCTATGCTATCAATGCATCCAGGAACCCCTTCACATGCGGCTTGACGGGCAGAACGTACTCAGCCCAAGAGGCCAGCCAACGGACAGAGTATCTGGCGCGCGCGATCAGGACTCGCTTCTCATTCAATCCAGATGAGGGTACCGAGTGGGACCGAGTCCTTGCCATCTTCTCCCTGAACACGGTATACATCCCCCGCATTTCCCATCGTGACTCAACCTGAGCTAAATGAAACCATATGGGAGATAGATTGACTACATCCCATTCGCTTTAGCAGTTCATCGATGCAATGGCATAGTCACGCCAGCCAGTGCTGCCTACTCGGCGCCCGAGCTGGAGCATCAGCTGCGCTCATCAGGCGCTAAGGGTATCTTCACCTGTGTTCCTCTTCTCGAGACGGCCCTCAAGGCTGCCAAAGCTGCCGGCATCGGCGAAGACGCCGTATTCCTGTTGCCGGTTCCTGGCTTCAGTTCCGAGAAGCTTCCTTTTAAAACCGTCGACGACCTGATCATCGAAGGGGAGCGTCTTCCGGCGGTTGAGCCGCTCCGATGGGTCAAGGGGCAAGGGGCGAGGCAAACGGCCTTCCTGAGTTACTCTAGCGGAACTTCAGGACTACCTGTAAGCACTCTTTGACTCGATCTTTTACTTTTCAAATGCCGTTCCTCTCAGGATCTGCTACTGGTCTAGCAGAAAGCTCACCATGCCCCCACGTGTGATAGAAAGCCGTCAAAGTGTCACACCGCAATGTCATAGCCAACGTAATCCAAATGGAATTGTTCGAGAGAGTCGCTAGAGACAAGCTGGGCGTCAAGACGCAAGTCGTCCTTGGCGTCCTCCCTCTCAGCCACATCTACGGCCTGGTCCTCGTCGGCCTGGTCTCCTGCTACAGAGGCGACGAGGTGGTCGTCCTCCCGCGGTTCGACCTGGATGCTTTCCTCGCGGCCGTCCAGAGATTCAGGATCGAGCAGCTCGATGTGGTGCCGCCGATTCTCATCCAGATAATCACCAACCAGGCCAAGTGCGACAAGTTCGACCTGGGCAGCGTGAGGATGGTCTTTAGCGGCGCGGCTCCCCTGGGGAGCGAGCTGACGTATGACATTCTGCGCAAGTACCCCAAGTGGCACGTCGTGCAGGGCTACGGCATGACGGAGTCGTCGCCGCTCATCACCAGCACCAGCGAGCTAGATGTATTGGTGGGCTCGTCGGGCTCGCTCATCCCGGGCTTCAAGGCCAAGGTTATAGACGCAGACGGTAATGAAGTGCTCGGATACGATAAGCGCGGCGAGCTTCTTGTCCAATCTCCTGCCGTCGTGATCGGCTACCTCAACAATGAAAAGGCCAATGCCGAGACTTTCGTATGGCACGAGGATGGAAGATGGCTCAAGACGGGTGATGAGGTTCTGGTCCGTCGGTCGGAGCAAGGGCATGACCATTTCTTCATTGTCGACCGCATCAAGGAACTTATCAAAGTCAACGTATGTAAAGCCCTGTTCCCCACACCGATCAATGTTCTGTGTAGAGGAGGAATTCTGCCAGGTTCGCATCACGAATTGTCTAACCTCTATATTAGGGTCATCAAGTGGCACCAGCAGAGCTGGAAGCTCATCTTCTAATCCACCCTTTCGTGGCCGACTGTGCTGTTATTCAGGTTCAGGATCCCCGTGCAGGCGAAGTCCCCAAGGCTTTTGTTGTCAGATCCGAAGAAGGGAAGGGCGAATCTGATGAGAAAGCCATTGCAAGCATCAGCAAGCACGTGGAAGACCACAAAGCCAGGCATAAGTGGCTCAGAGGAGGCGTGGAATTCATCGAGACAATTCCAAAGAGTGCCAGCGGGAAGATATTGAGAAGGATGCTCCGCGACCTCGAGAAGGATACACAAAGATCCAAGGGGCCAAAACTGTAAATACAACAAGAGTAGTCTCATTTCGAAGGCTTGGGTTGCACATATGTTTTCTGGCCACTTAGATGCCACGTAGCGAAGCTTTGTTTAAATATAGAGATAACAATTGTCTTCCGTCGATCAAACTGCTTCGTGGCGTTGCAAGTACCTCTTCAATCAAGGTCCGTTTGGTGATGTCGAGGCCACCACTATCATATTGAGGTCACAAGCAAAAATTGGAGAGGTGTGATCACAAACTAAGGATCCCTTATCGAAATAGTCCCTGGAAACTTCATCGTAACTCTGAGTATCGGCACTGTCTTCCTTGGCATCTTCTTTGCAAATCTAGTGACCATCAAAGGAACCAGGTGACGGTCAAAAGAGGAGGAATGTCCCTCCTTTTCTGCGTCTTTTCTTCAATTATCATCACAGGATTGCCATATTTGCCGATTGGTAACTCACAGCAAACAAAAGGAAATATTCATTATTTCATGTTTGCCCCCTAATGAACGAGCAACAACGATCATTCGGCACTTCGGGGAGATGTCGCAAAGCTTCGCCGACGCTTGCCTCAATGGGATAGCCCCCCCATCTGCATGAGTCAGCAGCAATAATTCCAGCACCCCAAAAACACAGATTTGGAGTAAGTCTCCGGAATCAACGAATAGGGAAATCTCATAAGAGGAACAGGCTGATCTCATTCAAGGCTCCCAAACCGCATCAGAGGAGCCGAAACAGCTGCAGGCAGGACCTGAGAGCCAAGCAGTTTTCCTCAGACAAGCCGCTTTCCATAAGATCAATGGGAATCGATCCAATTCTCCGAACCGGATCTTTCACGTGCTTCTCCGATTCGGATCTTGGGCTTTTTTCTCCGGCGGCCAGTGCCAGGTCGGATCAAAAGGGAAAGCGCCCCCGACAGAGCCTTGCCCCAAACACCGGACGAGACATCAAGCAATTGCCGATTTCGGGATATCGTGGGCTTTCCCCATGGCACAGATCCTCCAAGAACCGTTAATCTATTAGTCGTTGGCGTGAGATGGGGACGATATTCCACCAATTGAATGAATGCTTAGTCCAGCAGCGATCTCTGTGAAATGACGAAGTTGTGGTTTTTTTTTTCTTTATTCGCTTTCTCTCCCTCTTTTCTCCAGGTTTCCCTCGCCCAATTCCTCTCGTGACAGTTCCTACACCGAATCGTCCTTCACAAATCAGCCAGGATGGCATTGCGCCTGTCTTCTTCGAGCTTCAAAACGGCTCTGCCCCTCCTCCGAAGTTCCAGAGGCGCACCAATTCCACAATCGCGAGCCTTACCATCCCGTTATTTCACCACCACACAACCTAGATTCTCGCGCCCAGATGCTTTTGAGAGCCGAACTGGATCCAATCAGTCCCACAGAAGCTTCACATCCATTTGGACCGCTTTCGCAGTTCTTGTTCGTCGCCTTTGCCATTGGCGAACATGATTCCATTGCTAACCTTGACCGATCCCCTCCAGGCCATTGCGACATCCTCACAGCTTCTACAGCCCCCCACATTCCATTTTCTCGATAGCTCTGCCAGCGACGCCGCCGTTGGCTCAGCATTGATTTCATACGACGAAGTACAGAAGCATACCTCGGCCGAAGACTGCTGGGTAATCATAAACGTCAGTGACACTGCAACCCGCTCTAGGCGGCCGTAGACGTACTAAGATGATCGTACTTGCAGGGTTTTGTATACGATGTGACTGATTTCCTTCAATTGCACCCCGGAGGCGTCCAGGCCATAGTGGCGCAAGCCGGGAAGGACGCCAGCAAGCTGTTCACGATGCTTCACCCGCCCGACGCCCTTGGGACCCTCCCGACAGAGTACTGCCTCGGACCCGTGGACCCGGAGACCTTGCCGGCGCAGGAGGAGGAGGAACTCTCGGAGGCTGAGCAGCTCCGGCAAGAGGCCCGGGAGAACATGCCCCCGGCGGAGAACATGGTCATGGTGCAGGACTTTGAGGACTGGGCGGAGAAGGTGTTGAGCGAGACCGCCTGGGCGTATTATCGAAGCGCGGCTGATGAAGAGATGAGTGAGTTTCTTGCTGCTCTCTGCGGGTGGCGCAAGACGTTTTGTGCTGACATTGGTGATGTTAGCTTTTACTGAGAACCGCGACGCCCTGCGCCGATACTTCTTCCGCCCACGTATTCTGCAAAAGAACTCCACCGAGGGCATCACCGAGACGACTTTCATGGGCATCCCTACCAGTGTACCGATCTTCATCTCGCCCGCCGCAATGGCAAAGCTCGGACACCCTCTTGGAGAAGTCAACCTGACCAAGGCTGCTGGAGAGTGTGGAATTGTTCAGATGGTGGGTGCAGCAAGCCTTGCCGATCTTATTGTGGTGCTTATGAAACTGATTGACCTGTGGGAAACCAGATTTCAGCCAACTCCAGTTGTGGGCTTGAGGAAATGTTCGAGGCCAAGCGGGAGGACCAGTCTCTCATCTACCAGGTTTGTTTCTCCAAGGCCAAGTCCTTTCCAACCTCTGCGTTGGTGCTAACTAGAAGCTATCTCAGCTGTACCTCAACAAGGACCGAGCTGCCTCCGAGACTCTCATCCAAAAAGTAGAGAAGCTGGGAGCCAAGGCCATCGTCTTCACGGTAGACGTCATGTGGCAGTCCAAGCGGACCATGGATGTCCGCGCCAAGTTGCCTTCTCCGGCTGAAGCTGCCGCAGCCGCGGCTGCTCCGGCGCCCGCCTCCGTCTCGCATGCTATTTCAGGATACCAGGACTACAACCTTACGTGGAGCGATTTGGCCTTTATCCGGGTACGTCCTCTGATCCGTTCCTACCCAATATCTCTGCACATGGATGGAATAGAAGTGTGTTCTTGTTCGTGTGTGCTAACCTGAAGTTGTTGAAGAAAAACACCAAGCTCCCCATCATCGTCAAGGGAGTCCAGTCGGTCGAGGATGTCCAACTTTGCGCTGACCACGGTGTGCAAGGCGTTATCCTCGTAAGTGAATCTCTAATGGTGCAGAACGAGCCCTGTCGAAAACAGAAAAGACTGACAAATCACACTTCTTTCTTCTAGTCAAACCACGGAGGTCGCCAAGCTGACTACTCTCCCGCCCCAATCGATATTCTGTATGAAGTTCGATCATTGAGACCTGAATTGTTCGACAAGGTGGAGATCATGATCGACGGAGGCATCCGCACTGGAGCCGATGCCGTTAAGGCCCTTGCCCTCGGTGCTAAAGCCGTCGGAATTGGACGACCGGCCCTGTATGCGAATGGTACACATGGAGAGGAGGGTGTCAAGCGCGTTATCAACAGTAAGTGTCCCCTCCTTTCTTCGTTAGATAAGGAAGCCGTGCCCCCGCACATGACAGAATCATCGCTGACCAGGGGGGTGTTGCCTCCGAGCAGTTTTTCAAGAAGAAATTGCAAGCACCATGCGGAATATCGGTGTCAGCAAAATTCAAGATCTCAAGCCGGAAATGGTCGGGCCAGCAGGGCCGTGGGTAGGACGCAACAGGCCGCCATACGTGCCTTGAAGGGAGAAGATGGCGGAATCAGACGACGACTAATATATACCTGTGGTTTCTTGGGAGCATGGACTGTTTTAAGTTTTGGGTATAAATCATTTCACAATAGACAAACTATGAAGGAATTGGGATATTGGGATTTAGACTTTGGTTTTTTAGATCAATGATGGATGGATAGAAAGATGGCGAGATAGTTGATTCCCCTAGATCTGTAGATTGCTTTGCCTCCTATCAACGGCGACTTCTCTTTTGCCGAGGTTATCTGAGCACGTGAGCAACAATCTAGAGAACACGATGCGCGGACACACTTTACCGATTCAATCCTTCGCATTTTGGAGTGAGTAGCCAGATTTCTTGACCCAAGTATGATACTTATCTGAAGAGCAAGAAGTAAAAGAATATCCCAGGATCATCGCAGATGAAAAAGAAGCGCCATTATATATGCAATCTATATGTTCGTCTATGAATCTACTTGTACAGTGAGAAACAGGCATCCCGTGACATGCTCTCTAAGCAAGCAAGTTCATGAAAAAGCCAGCACCAGCCGCTGCCATTAGCGTCCAAGCCACGACCTGGACGTGCGCTCCAGCACCTTGGTCATTGCTAGACCCATTCCCACTGTTCTCCTGTGAGCCATCTGATTGGGTGGCCTGTGAGCTTCCACTACTTGTTTGTGTTGCTGAAGCCTGGCTGGACGTTGAGATCGGACCACCAGTGAAAAGGGCATCCTTTTCTTGGCAGTTACCCGTCACGCTGGGCACGGGGTCGTCTCCCTTGCTGACGGCCACAATGTCATTATCTCCACAGTTGGCAGCCTGTGCCACGTGGACAGACTCGCTTTCCCAATCAAACGTGAAATATCCAGCCCTCAAGACGGTATCTCCAAGAATTTGCTGATCAGTAGTCAGAACAATGCCGACTACACATAGATCAGCAGCCGCTTGGAAATCCATGATCAGGTCGCTGAAGGGAACAGCGATCGTCTTGTTTCCGAATCCGAAGCTGACGCTGCCAGCTTCCTCTCGTCTTTTGCAATCAACGAGGTAGTAGCCATTGGTGTCTTGTATAGCCCCCAAGGATTTAAGGATTGGCTTGGCTGCTGTTTCACGTAGACGGGTGATGGTGGTTCCCGAGTCCAGCATTACTTTCTTGTCGTCTCCCAGAAGCTGGTAGGTGGAGTTCTGTCCCTTGATTGTGATACCCATGGTGTTGATCGACACGCCGAGACGATACTCTCCGCTCGAACCGCGAATGGTGGGCAGCTTCTCCATGGTGCCAATGAACTTGCTCTTGTCGATGCCGCCGTAGATAACAGCGCCGGTTGTGGACTCCGAATGGCGCAGGTCAAGAGAGAAGACGCGAGCCGCAATAATCCCCTGGTCAAGCATCGAATTGAGGACTAAACTATAAGGCTCCTTGCCGTCAAATCCACTCTTCATGTCGGGAGCAAGCCCGAAAATGCCAGCAAACTGCCCCGAGCTCGCGACAACAGTGCCAAATGTCTGGTTCTTGATGACCGCGTCACCCAGTGTAATATCGTCGGCATAGTATGTCAGATTGACGCTAGTATGCGTCGAGCTATCTGCGGCATCGCCATATTTGATTGACTCGTTTCCGAATGGACCAACCGCCGGTGTCTTGGAATTTTTCGGGGTATAACGTCCGAAGCTTTTGCACTGCTGTACTTGGGTATCGCTTGGTGCATTTGCACAGTCCGGATTTACCCAGAGCTCGCTGGATCCAGTATCGACGAGAAGTGTCAATTTCTGAGGAGGGCTTCCGATCTCGACTGCAACCGAAAATAATGTCAGACATATATCTCCCGATCAGTACGGGAGGGAGGATGGAAAGGTCACGATAGCCTGGCAATCCCATCCCCTTAACATTGTGACTCACCGTCGGTCGTGTAGAAAAACTCCCTGTTGTCCAGCTCAGACACGATAGCCTTGGTATCCCGCTTAGCGGAATGGGGCCTGTCAACAGTCCCAATAGGCACAGAGAGGAATCCCTCCCCTCGCTTCGCCTTGGGAAAGCCAACGTTGGCGTCGACTACCTGTCCAGCAAGCAGCGAGAAAACGACACCTAGTACCAGCGACCGCATATTGAAGACGTTTGTTGTGGCGGGAGATCCAACAAGGGAAACGCAACGGTTCAAATAGGCATCCTGGCAGGACGGTTGGATCGCGGAGAGTCCGGGGTCATAGCCATCTTGATAAAGCTTTCCTGTCCCCACCACATGTTGACGCCAAGAGACCGTACATCACTTCCCGAGGACCTGCGACTTGTCTCTCTCCCTTGCCCTGTTCTGTGACTGGACGGCCAAGGGGGCTGACATGGGTCGATGGAGCCAGAAGATGGGGCGAGCTGCAAGGGGGAGGGAGGCTTAGTGTTTAAGTTTTGCGGGCTCAGCGGCTGACTTGGCTTGTCAGCTTGCGTGGACGGCGCCGATCATTGAAACACTTTCTCTGATTCGATGGTTCCGAAATTGGGTCAGACTCGAGTTCCGTAAGCCAGCCGCGGACTCAGATCTTCCTGTTGTGCGCCCGGCAGACGCCATTGGAGGCTCGGACCTCCAGCAGCTGCAGGTGTCTCGTCTCCCGACAATTGGACGGACACGATTGCTCAGTCGTCGTCAATTCCTCCACCCGTGCGAATAAACAGCCAACCAAGTCGGACTCCGCGCGCGCCTCCACCAGTGCTGCAATGCATGACTTGGTCCCCTGCAAGTGGTACAAGAATAGCCCATTAGAGTTAGCACCTTGCCAATCGGGTCCTTGATCTGATGATCCGCTGCTGCTAATCGGTCCTCCTGAGTCCTGACACGCGCCAACAAGATGCTCTCGCCTGTCTACCCAAAGCAATTCCTCAAGAAGCAGCTCCCTAAAGAGCACCCATGATATAAATCACAAGTATAACAGTCATTGGTGTTGGCACTTATCGTAGGACCAACAATCCATGGTCTCAAGGAGTCTCTTCCAGGCGGAGCCGAGTTATCCCCCCTCATTTATCGTGCGTGAAGGAGTAGGTGTGTAGGATTTTGTTCCAATCGTCTCTTAGCATGTATGAACTAAATCATATCGAGCTTTGCTATCCATCTCATTCCCCTTTTGTAAAACTGTGTTGGGAATCAACAAGTAATAATGACAACCAAGCCCATGCAAAATTTTGTTGATTCTATGCTACTGATACATATTTGGACAAGCGTCAATCTAGACATTTTGTATACAAGCCAGCTCAGTACTTTCCGTCGCCAGAGACGAGCAGAACAGCACTGCCGAGTTGCCTTCTGACATCCTCATTGTTGACATCGTGTGTATCCTCTACTTCGCCCCACTGGCCAGCCTGCCAGTCAACCTCGAGATTGGTAGCTTTAGCAGCCTCGTCGGCTCCGAAGGTACCAACCGTGGCAAGGTCGCTAGCTCGAGCTGCACCCTCGCTCCATTCTACCACAAGCCGAGCGGCGGCGAGAAAGCTCTTTCCCGCAAGAACAGCCCGTTCAAGCGCAGTAATCTCCCAAGCGTCGAGACCCATGACCCAGCCATGGACTACCTCTCGGACACCTTCGCTCTGCTGCTGTGGAACAATCGAGTGGCCATCCAAGACGGGCTCTATCTTGATCCCCGGCCACGTATTCGTTGTTAAGAAAGACACAATTGAGTCGGCAGTCTTCTTTTGAACATCGCGTAGTGATTCTCCAGCGTCATTCTTCAGATCGAAGGGCCCAGCGGGTGGTGCCCAACAAAGAAGTGAATCTGTATCCAGGTACTTCATGACGGTCGTAGCGATAGCTGTGCGGATTTTCGAGGCTTCGGGTGAGTCAGAAGCATCGTCGGCCTGAATGTCGATGGCTCGGCAAACAAGGCTCGTTAAGGGTATTAGATGCTGCTTGGTGGCTTCTTGGATTGATGTCAGGCTGTCCCATTCGAGGGCGAGGGCAGCTGCAAGATATCCCTTTGTCACGGGAAGACGGACGACTTCCTTGGTGAGAGGATGTCTAAGGGGACGCTCATCGAGGTGAACTTGCAAAGCACCTTTCAGACAGTTAGCCAATGCCAGTTGAGGTACTTAGACCCAGGTCTGCCTTGTATTTAGACTTACCATCCACCTCCTTCACATGCACGTCATCCCAAAACCTCTTCTTCAAAGCCGTACTTTTACTCTTCCCATTGCGGATGTCCCGAGCGGCCTTGAGAAGCTCGGCTTGTCTCCTGCGCCGCTCCACACGCTGATAGCCGCTGGTGGTTGGTGCCTCCGGCGGTGGCCCCGTGCCGACGAGCGGATCGACATTGGCTGTCCTCGTAGTCGTCGAGTGTATTAATCGGACGGGGGCCGGAATTTGAAATAGCCGCGGGGCCAATCTAAGGGGTATCCGAGTCGGTAGCCTCATCATTGTGCGGGGGATATGCGAATGCCGTGCTGGACAGAAGATAGGAAAAGAAATTTTGGGCCAAACTACGCATGATGTCAATCGCGCGAACCACTAAGAATGGTCAAGGGTTCAGTCCAGTTGGCCAAGCTCTCAGCTGTGGATCCAAATACCTCTGACCGGCGAGACATCAAGCAGCGTGAGTCTCGTTTTCTTTTTATTGTTGTTGCTAATGCGATTGATTCTGTAATGAATATCTTCTCATGATGATAATTGAACGCTTGTAGGCCTGTTCGGGATAAAGGCCAAGGACTATTATTCGATAATGCTCGTTCGTTCGAAGTACCCAAGTTGTCTCATACCCCCACCACTAGGCACAGTAGTGGACCAAGATTCAGACAGCATCCCAGAGCTCATTCAGAAGAAGACATCAACACGTATAGTCAAATGGGACATCTCGCAAGACAACAACTAGATGAATCTCGCTGTTTAAAGACGTGTTGAATCAAGAAGGAGCGGCCAAAGGCGAAGAACAGCCACCACAAACGAACATGAACTCCTATTTCTGTTATAAGTCGGGGATACCCCACTACTCTGAATGGACGCAACTGGCTTTGGAAATCTAGAAATTCAATTAAAAACGTGTCCCGGACAATTTCTTGCCAAAAAGTAGTATTTTAATGAAAGATACAACACCATATTTGTCCAAAACCAGAGCACCAGGAGTATCTAGATCTTGGAATCTGAGATCAATGGTGGGGCGAGATGACAGGTGTCCTATCACGTGATTGAAGCACCATCCCTGAGTTAGAGGCGACTATGGCCAACGTGGTGATTAACAGGTGCTTCCTGTCTATCGACACCACGAGCAACACCGACAGCACACCGTCTCGCCTCGACCCAGCCGCCCAAAATGAGCTACGGCAAGAAGGATGAGGATGCCGACCTGGGTCTGGTCAAGGTAGATCGCACTCAAGTCTTCCAAGAAGGTGAGTCTCTTCAGCCCATCCAGCCCAGTTCCCCCACAGCTAAAGCGTTGAACCAGCCCGACTTTTCAACAGCTCCCCCATTCAACCACGAAGATGCCGAATACTTCTTACCAAGATTGCTCTTCTCCTCTACACTGGGGAGAAGTTCCCGACCAATGAAGCCACCACCCTTTTCTTTGGTATCTCGAAGCTGTTCCAGAACAGGGATGCGAGCCTCCGACAGATGGTACATCTTGTAATTAAGGAGTTGGCCAATTCAGCCGAGGATATTATTATGGTCACCAGCACGATTATGAAGGACACTGGAGGAAGCACCGACGTTATTTACCGACCCAATGCGATCCGAGCCCTCTGCCGCATCATCGACGTACGGGTTCCTAGGCTGCCGCCCCAGACCGCAATTGCTAACCTTGAATTTGAATAGGCCACCACCGTCCAGTCGATTGAACGAGTGATGAAGACAGCCATTGTCGACAAGAACCCTTCCGTCTCTTCTGCCGCCCTTGTATCGTCATACCACCTCCTTCCCATCGCCCGAGATGTTGTCCGTCGATGGCAGAGCGAAACTCAGGAGGCCGCAGCATCCTCCAAGTCCTCCAGCGGCTTCTCGCTTGGCTTCTCCTCCTCGAATGGACAGCTGCCCTTAAACAACTCCACAATGACACAATATCATGCGATTGGCCTGTTGTACCAGATGCGCATGCATGATCGCATGGCATTGGTCAAGATGGTGCAGCAGTTTGGTGCTGCTGGCGCTGTCAAGAGCCCTGCCGCTCTTGTGATGCTGGTCCGCCTAGCAGCTCAGCTTGCCGAGGAAGATGCTTCTCTCAGGAAGCCTATGATGCAATTATTGGATGGATGGTTAAGACATAAGAGTGAAATGGTCAACTTCGAGGCCGCCAAGGCCATTTGCGACATGCGAGATGTTACCGATGCCGAAGTCAACCAGGCTGTGCACGTTCTTCAGCTCTTCCTGACCTCCCCACGAGCAGTCACCAAGTTTGCCGCCCTTCGCATTCTGCACAACTTCGCCTCATTCAAGCCCAACGCTGTCAATGTTTGCAACCCCGATATCGAGCTTCTCATCTCCAATAGCAACCGATCCATCGCTACTTTCGCCATTACTACGCTGTTGAAGACTGGTAACGAAGCCAGTGTCGACCGGTTGATGAAGCAAGTCTCTGGGTTTATGTCTGAGATCACTGATGAGTTCAAGATCACTATTGTTGAGGCCATCCGAACGCTCTGCCTCAAGTTCCCCAGCAAACAGGCCGGTATGTTGACCTTCCTCAGTGGTATCCTGCGTGACGAGGGTGGCTATGACTTCAAGAGGGCCGTGGTGGAGAGCATGTTCGATTTGATCAAATTCGTCCCCGACTCAAAGGAGGACGCTCTGGCACATCTCTGCGAATTCATTGAGGACTGCGAATTCACCAAACTTGCCGTGCGTATTCTGCACCTGATTGGTTTGGAAGGCCCCAAGACCGCACAGCCCACCAAGTACATTCGTTACATCTACAACCGAGTGGTCCTCGAGAACGCCATCGTTCGCGCTGCTGCCGTCACTGCTCTCGCCAAATTCGGTGTCGGCCAGAAGGACCCAGATGTCAAGAGCAGTGTTAAGGTGCTCCTCACCCGTTGCCTGGACGATGTGGACGATGAAGTCCGAGACCGTGCAGCACTCAACTTGAAGTTGATGGCCGAGGAAGATGACGAGATGGCCCGCAACTTTGTCAAGAATGGTAAGCTGCCTCACAAATTCCAGTCAAGTGTCCTGACTAACCCAACCATCAGAAAATATGTTTTCTCTTCCCACGTTTGAACACCAACTGGTTCTGTATGTCACATCAGATGACAAGTCCGCATTTGAAATTCCTTTCGACATCTCCAAGATTCCTGTTGTCACCAGGGAGCAGGCCGATGCCGAGGACAGAACGAAGAAGCTTACCGCCACAGCTCCTACGCTTAAGGCCCCCAAGGTTGGCCCTACAAAGTCCGCCAGTGTGGCGGAAGCCGCAGCGTCCGCTTCGGCTCAGGCTCAACGCTATGCTCAGGAGCTGGCAGCGATCCCCGAAATCCAGGAGTTTGGTGCCGCTCCTCTCAAATCATCACCTGTTGTTGAACTTACCGAGGCAGAGACTGAGTATGTTGTCAGCGTTGTCAAGCACATTTACAAGGAGCATATTGTTCTGCAATACGAAGTCAAGAACACTCTACCAGAGACAGTTCTAGAGAATGTCTCGGTTGTCGCCACACCTTCGGAAGAAGACGAGCTTGAAGAAATTTTCATTCTTCAGGCCGAGAGGCTCGCTACTGATGAGCCCGGCAAGGTTTATGTTGCCTTCAGAAAGGTCAACGGAGACGGCTCTCTCCCCGTCAGCACTTTCTCCAACATCCTCAAGTTCACCAGCAAGGAAATCGACCCGTCCACAAACGAGCCCGAGGAGCAAGGTTACGATGATGAGTACGAAGTCTCTGAGTTTGATCTCACTGGAAGCGACTACGTCATCCCTACCTTTGGAAGCAACTTCAACCACCTCTGGGAGCAGGTTGGTGCTGCAGGAGAAGAGGCCGACGAAACTCTGCTCCTCAGCAGCATGAAGAGCATTGCCGGTAAGTTTACTATTGACACTCTTAGATCTAGAATCCCGCTAATACCATTCATAGAAGCAACAGAGCAGCTCGCAAAGACGCTCTCTTTACAACCCGTCGACGGAACGGATGTCCCCGTAAACCAGACTACCCATACCCTCAAACTGCTCGGAAAGACGGTCGGGGGCGGGCGTGTGGTGGCCAGCATACGGATGGCATACTCATCAAAATCTGGCGTTACGACAAAGATTACAGTAAGGAGCGAAGAAGAGGGTGTTGCGGCGTTGGTGATTGCAGCTGTAGCGTGAGAGGTTCTGGAAATCGTGGTAATCATACTTTCAAATATGCTCTCAGAGTTCTACTGGTCAACGTACATGTGGATGCATAGCATAAGCAGCAGCAGCGCGGAAACATGGCGAATAGACAAGAGGAGAGAGAGCAAGCATTTCGGAGGTGCAAATGGGGTTGGAAACTGCTGGCCGGGGCCGGTTTTGCCTGCAATCAGCAGCGGGGGTCATGACTGATGGCACGTTATTTAAACACTGTTTTTATGGTTCCCTGTCATAACGCGATTATTTAGACGAGGCGGTTTGAAAATAAGATGACTGGTTACTATGCGCACTTGGCAAGTTTACCAAGTGATGAGCTAGAGAAATCGGGAAATATATTTAGGTCTAGCAAAGTAACTACCCAGGTCATATTTTAAACCGAGGGTCAATAACTGGCGGGCTTAAAGTTTGCTTCAAAAAGTTACGAAGCAATCTTCAAAGACACCCATCATCATGATGGTCGGATAGCTCGGTATAGGGTAGCATCCCACAGCAAGGGGATATTGAAGACTAAGATTAACATTAGGATGAAATCGAAAGAAGAGAGCATGACAGGTGGTGAGCTCGTGTAATATGAAAATCAAACTCTTTTTCTTCTTCATGCTGATTGTTATAGCAAGTCTAGGGAGGTTCTTGGGAGAGGGAAATAGGAAAGATGGTGTGGTGGGGTGAGGGCACTTTAGGCTTGGTTCTGTTTTTCGAAGGTATTGAGATGGAACCACGCAAGGTTCGTTCAAGACCGTGACTTTATGACCTAGAGTTTCATTCTCTAGGGAGATTTATTTACTGTTCTAACACTTGCAGAAATGACACACTGACTCGAATCGATAGGGGCATGGAGTATATGTTATGTTTGGCAAGATCCAACCTCTTCTCTTCCTTCAATAAATGCTTGAAATCACCGCTGCTAGGGGTATACTTGCGAAGAGAAACACTTGACAACAATGGTTTTTTTCTGTTGGGATAGGCTACACGTGATGAAAATGGACACGGCTTGGAGAAGGGTTTGTTTTCTTGTTGGGGATATGTTCGTGGATAAATGGGTGAGGCGATCTTCCGTGTGATGAACTGGTTGCGTCATGGGACCATCCACAGAACCTGATGTTGGTGGCGTGTGTGCAACTTATTGGGGTAAGGGAAGCATCCCATACTGTCCAGGCCAGCCCAAGCATGCAGTTTATAGATGACGCGAGGTCGAAGGATATCTTCATCACCGCCCTCAGGACAGACATGGCACTAGCGTTGTAGCTTGACCCGAGACCGAGGCTACATGGGGCTTGCCTAGGTTTACTGGGACACTGCGCATCACCCTTCGCGAATCACAGCCGTCCTTAGATGGCCCCAGGGAACGGAATAGGCATCGAATAATATGGGGTGTAAGACAGGGATGTGGCAGAGGGACGAACATCCGATGATTGATAATTGGAGGAGAGGCAGAAATGGGCAAGGAGGGACCTTGTGGAAATCAGTCCCGTAAGAGCTCTTACAACGGTAGTATGAAAGCAATGCCATTGCAGTCGGCGTTTGGATATGAATACGTAATTTGGGACATGGGCGAGATTCATGTCGCCATGGCACACCACCTGTCAACTCGTGAGGATGCTTCACAATGCCATGAGACAAAGTTTTTTTGGGGAAACTAATAAAGCCCCGCCGCGACTGCATGTCATATCACAAAAGCATGTCATAATTAACAGGCAAGAGAGCGTGTTTGGTGCCACAAGGGGGTGGGTGTCGTGTATCAAGTGACAGGCCAACGTGGCAGATAGTGAGCAGGTCTGCAGGCTTTGTCCGAATTATTCACTGACCGCAAGACAGCCAGGAGGGTCTTCGCTGTTCATGCTGGCGCTCATTGTGGAAGGCCGCCAGAGCACGGCGTCCTGGTCGAGGATGAGGTGTGTATGTCGCGAATAGGTAGATAATCAGTCCCCGCGATCCGAGGGATCAGCGATATGACATAGCATCGGAGGCAGAGTAAGATCCTCTCTGACATCAATAGAAATCCTGCCGAGGATGACGAATGGTGGCCGCCAAAGACCAATGGATTTAGATTGGCCGTGCACTAAAATAAGGGACTCCATACCTGGCAGCGGCCTGAGGTGTCTGGTACCTGCCCGGGGCCAGGTGGTAGGTGCGCTGCGGCATGTCCCCACCAGGGCCACGCCTTCAGGGGGCTATAGGGGTTGATCACTGATGTGGCTGGGTGTCTTCCCCCTATGGCTTAGCAGGCAATAGGAGCTTTGGGCCCATCCCGTTGCAGGTCAGCATTAGGCGGTGGCGCCAACCATCTCTCTAAGCTGTTCTACCCAGCCGTTCCGGGCCACTTTTTTTCAAGTCCAGGTCCCCATTCATTTCCGTAGGCTCCCTTTCTGCCACTCACTCCCAATCTCCCGTCTATCCGCAGTCCTCAACACCCTTTGCGACTCCAGTACCCTACTTGCGAAATCTTGGTCGGCCTGTTCTGCCGAGAGACAAGCCTCCGTCGCAAGAGAAGACACCTCACATGTTGCGCAATGAACGCAATTCAGCAAAAATGTCGGCCCAAGCACCAGGTTCTGGTGCTCAAGTGTTATCCCCGGACCTCCAAGGGAGCTGTTGACGTCAAGCCCAACAGCAGCGAGCTCAGCTACCTCCTTTTCTACGCCACGAGCCGCCGTTCTAAGATTCAGAAGATTGGTGCATTTCTCGAGAAAAAGACCGCCAGCGATGTGTGGCGGCTACGAATTGGGTGCGCTGGCTTCCATCTCCCTGACGTTCATGACTTTTGCTTACCAAGTGTTTTATCTATAGCAATGTCCAAGTTACCCTTGGGATCCTCACTGCGCTCATCGAGAAGTCACCAAAAGATATCGCTCTAATTGCCCCCTGTGTGCTCAACATCCTCGAACTTATCCTTCGCTCCAACGACATCTCCATGATCGAGTCATCCCTACCTACCTTTGACGCCTTTTGCGAGCATCATGATGTCTCCTCGCTCTTCGCCGACCAGTCCTACCTTCACCAGTACGAGTCTGTTGTCCGCTCCTATGCCAGTCTCGCCTCCATCAGCTTCAACCCGACAAAGCAACCACTGAGCAGTCCTGTTAAAGCTCGGTGGAGGACCGCAGGGCTGAAAGCCATCAGAAGCATTGCGGCCTCGGATGCGCTGTCGACTCTCACAGGCCGCCAAATAGACGTTATCGTTCCCCTCATCCTTGAAAACCTCTGGACAACAGATGAGAATATGCTAGAGACCTTCTTGGATCGAGTCCAGGCGGAAGAGAAGGCCGATACTGAGAAGATTCTAAGGCGGCGCACCAGTGTCGCAACAGTCGAGACGGTCGATACCGCCGGCGAGCCTCGCCCTATCGCATTTTCCGGAACAGCAAACGATGCGGATCGACTGGCGGAAGAGGACATCGGGGTTCTCGCCATGCAATGCCTCAAGAGCATATTCGTCGTCCCCAACCGGTCTCAGATAAATGCGGCCACCTCAGTTTTGTTACGGTTTATCCTGGATAGGTCAGATGCTGGATATTCGGTCGCGACGCTCGGAAGTAAGGGCAAAAATGACAATGGCTGGGCCCTCACTCTTTACAACGTCATTGCTCGATGGGCCCCGGTTCAGGACCGTTACATCATCCTGGTTGTCGCAATCGATACCCTGATCCGAACACCTGCCACGGATGCTCGTATGGAGCAGCAGCTTGTCCTTGTGTCTATTATTGGATCACTTTTGCGATCTGATGTAAACCTGATTGGCCTTAGCATTATGGATGTCTTGCTCGGACTGGTCAAGCAGATCAGGAAGCTCTTCCGTCCTTCTGGTAGTGTGAACCCGACCGACAGCGCTGCGGACGAGAAAACAGAATCGGATACAGAGCCAAGTACACCACTACCACGGAAGCAATTGTTAGAGCGACTTGAGGGGTGTATTGGAGATCTGGCAACGCATGTCTATTATGCTGACCAAATCACTGACATGATTGCCGCGATCATTGCGCGACTCAAACCTAGTCGTTCATCCAGCACAGGTTCCACACCTCACGGTGAAAAGGCCGACGGGAACGAGCCACTGCCTGCTTCGTCTGCCCAAGACTTGACTGAGAGCCAGTCGACAATTGATGCATACTTTTCTTACAGCAAGGGTCGTCTTTCCGGCCTTAGCATTATCAAGGCTATTCTACTGGTGGCTAACCCGTCGCTGAAAATTAGCGGCAACGTGAATCTTTCGAGGAATAGGGTCCCTCTCGATGTCTGGGAAGGTACGCACTGGCTTCTCCGGGATCCGGATGGCGAGGTTCGCAAGGCATATGTGGAAGCATTCGTTACGTGGCTTGACCGTGAGACGACTGCTGCTGACCTGAGAGCGAGCGATGAGGCTTTGGTCCAACACCGACCACAACACAAGTCAAGCCAGGACTCGCCTACCGCTACGGCCTCCCAGCGGGCAGTTTCAAACGCCTCAAATCGGGAACGTTTGCCCAGATGGCGCCGTTCTCAGTTCTTACCTCTCCTTCACCTATCCATCTACGACAACGCTCTTCAGTATGTGGACTACGAGACGGACTTGGTGCTTCTCCACGTCCTCCTCACCAAGCTAACATTCCAACTTGGGGTCAACGCTGTACGTTATGGGCTTCCGATGATATATCACCTACAGGAAGAGATACAAGAGATTGAACCCCCCGTCCACAAAGTCCGCATTGCTGCCTTGTGTCATGGGTATTTTTGGGCTTTGATAGAAAAGTTTGACATCGAAACGTCGGCCCTCGGTAGAGCCATCCACAACGAAGTGGCTCGTCGCCGTACCAAGGGCTTTTGGGTCTCGGGCATCAACGTTCCTGCTCCATTGCCCAGATCAGTAGGTGTCCCCGGCCAAACCGGACCGCCGCCTTCTTGGGATGCTGCAGCACTTGAACAGGAAGCTCTTCTTCCATTTGATGACCGTGGCGCTTTGATCAACTCCATTGCTGCCAGCTATGAAGAAAGTGCTAGGTCTCCTCCCACTAGTCCGATGGCATCACCCAGTCGTGCCGGCACGGGCCCCGTTCTGGGATCAACACTGACTTCACCGCACGAGCACGCCTTGGAATTTCCTGACGCATTCAGAGAGTACATGCTGGCAGACTGGACAAGAGAGGGAGTTGCCTCAGCTTTGGCTTTGGAAGGCAAAGCCGAATCCCTCAATGGCTCAAGAACAGGTACTACAACAACCCGCAACCGTCTCACAATCAACACGGCAAACTTTGGCAGCAATGGGATCTCGACTCAGGGAGGCCCGCATAACCTACGCCCTCAGTCGGCTCGACTCCCTGGCGATGGTGAACGCTTTGGATCAAGTGCAAGATTTAGTAAAACGAGCGTGCGAAGCGGGCTTTCTCCATCTCCCTCTACTACGGCTAAGGGGGCCGTCGCTTCCGTGGACCAGCTCAAGATGGTGCTTTCTGGAAGCCTTGCGACACAAAACGTGAATGGCGCAGGCGAAGATGATGAAGAAAGTGGCGATAGTATGGTCAGTTACGAATACAGCGCCTCCGAACTGAGCCATAATCAGGGCACGCAGGTGTCAGATCGTGGCAGTGTTGTGGTTGACGGCGTGAAGCGATCAGCTTCTGGTGCCCACCGGGGGCCGCTCAACTCGAACCCCCCGACTCATAACCTACCGAACTTTGGGGACGATGTTGGGTCAGGGGATGACGTCCCGCCGGTCCCACCATTGCCCAAGTCACATAGTGCTTTGACAGGCAAGAGCATGGGCGTAACCGATGACATTGCCGTCCAAGATTATGCTGTCAAAGGCGCGAGGCGCAACCTGAGCAACCGAAGCCGCAGGGGCAGCGTGAAGTCTCGACACGGCAAAGATGACAGTGGGAAGGCAATCGACTTGCAGGAACTTTTGAGGGGCATCGACAGCCGGGTTGGTGAAGCGGGTCTGGGAAATATCACCAAGCCGCCGTACTAGGTTATTGTACAAGAAGGGCATGTGTGGGTGATTTCCAACAGTCTTAATTTCATTCAGTGTTGGTTTTATATTCAGCTTGTTTGCTATATAGAGTGCGAGGAGTTTCTGCGTCAAAACTGGGGCCGAACTGGGCATTGGGGAAAATAAGCGAGCAGTGATGGGATGGTTTGGTTTGTTCGAATATACATATGCGTATACATACCTTGTATTGTTTACAAAACACGAAACCTATGATTAATTCTCCTCCTATCTATCTTTCTCCCTGGATCTCATGTGTTTGTCTGTATATGAGTAGAGTGATATTAAGCACATTCAAGAGTGATTCCTAGCCTTCCTATCCAGGGGCTATCCTAGCGGTACAGACGGAAGAAGATCTCCATTTCGTTACCAAGGGAGACCTTGTTGATGCGGAAGCTTGACACCGAGCCTTGCAGCTGTGTGGGCTCCCGGCCCTGGTCACCATTTACAGGCAGAAGGGATAAATGGATAAGGTAGTTACTATATACTTGCATATGTATAATATACGTGCATTGAAAAAATCTCCGGACGTACTGATGTTCTACAAGGGCTGAGTCCCAGATAACTGTCGCTAGGCGGATCTGGTGAGTCTATTGCTATGGATGCAGGCATTTGATGCCTCTTACCAATCTTGATCGGTGACACCTGCCTGCATGTTTATTATGAGATGTGTGAGTAGGTAGTTAGACAGACAGGTAAATATAATATCGTACGTAATTGACACAGATCTGATTTTCGGAGGGGAGGATGGGGAGATAGAGGTGAGTTCGTTCCTCATCCATTAAGACAGGTCACAGAGCATCGTGATTCGGAGCTTGGAGACAAAGCCGAGATGTTTCTTAGATGCAAAACGAGCAAAAATAAACCAAATTCATCGTAGATGTGTGGAATGCCGACCCGGAAGGCTCATCTCCTTAGTCTCCTCGCAATTGCCTGCACGCTCACTGAAAGCACTCCCATGGTAACTTCCCTGTCTGACAACACGGTGATGCCCCTTCTCTTCTCCATCATCTATACGGCCGGCGGAATACTTTTTCTTGTTCCCATTTTCTTCAGCATTTGACTATCGCTCTGGTTATTCTTTTGCTCCTCTCAGCATCCATCTCTCGCTCTGTTTGGGCCTTGTTGACTTAGTTTGATACGATTTTATCATCACCTTCGTTCAGTCCCCCGCCACGATACACATCCATTAACACCGGCGGTACCTCATTTTGTTTCGTTTTCTTCTTGGAAACAGGGATAGCCTACTAGTCCCCTTTCTCGAAATTCCGAGTGCAATACTAGAGCATACGGTATTGAAGTTTGCATCCTGACTTGCTCCTCGAGCCGGACTGAGAAGGTCGAATGAAACTCGGTGCAGCAACGCCTATATTGGCCCTAGTTGTCTAAACCTCAAGCGACAAAGCCGACCATCATCACAAAATGGCAAATATCGAAGAGTTGGGTCATCCGTCGCGAAGCATCCCGAACGAGGCATACCCCGATGACATGCCGCGACCAAAAGCAAACCCTGATGATCTGCCACAACCAGACGAGGCAAGCCCTGCCGATCTTCCACTGCCAGATGGGGAACACCTTGAAGATATGCTAGATGCCGGAATTGAGAGGCCAGCCCAAGTCGCAACACCCAATCGAGTCCCGTTGTCACTGCATTCATTCATCCACGGGCGCAGATCCCCGACCAATGTAGGGCTTTCATCATCTGGGAACGTCCATGACCGAAGGAATCCCCTTCTACTGCCACATGAGCGGTCACCTCAGCGGTCACCTCAGCGGACACCTGAGCGGTCACCTCAGGGGACACCACCGCCGCCATACTTAGAACCAGAACCGGGTATCGAAATGATGCCGCTGCAACCCGTAGCACAAGCTGGGCCAGTACAGCCGGGGCAGTCGCAGCAACAACGGAATGAGCCACCTGTTTTGGCCGACGCAGCTCATCCTCAGGGCTTTTTCGTGCCGGAGGGTGAAGTGGTTGGTGCACCAAGACGAAGAACAAGGAAAGACTGGAAGGCTATAGGTATCGTTGGAGGTTTCATATTTGTGATTGGATCACTGATAATTATTATTGCGACGGTCAACAGAGATAAGACAGAAAAATGATGCGGCACCCTCTGCATTGGCCTGGGTTGGACCATCTGGGAATCCAGGTTGGAGTTTGGCAGTTGTTCTGGGGCTGCTTGAACTTGTTCTATCGGCATTCTAGGAAGTTATGAGCTGAGCACCATTGAAAGGTGCCGTCGTCAGTTATTTCTATGTACCATTGCTACATGTGTATAGCGTTAGCCAGCGAAGAATTTGTTTCTTTTTGATCTCTCACAACGTATATGTGATAAAATAACGCTTAGGATGAGCTTACCCGTGATGTGGCCCTATTCCATGCCATTCATCACAACAGATATCTGCATCCTCAAGTCCTAAGCTATTGGTACGATTGGGCGATGGATCCATTCACATGAGCGCTTAATTCTTGTCACCTGAAAGGGTCGGCGATAGACAGTAATAATGTGCATGGGTACCGGGAATATCCCTCCTTGATGGGAAGTTGATTTATGAGAGAGATGCATGCGCATATTTGGCTGTCGTCTGACTGCATATGCATGCACGGTCGTTTCGCCACCATTATAAAGCGCTTATTGGGTTGCAGAGAGAGAGAGCAGAGGGGAGGGTCGCAGAGGCCGAAATGAAGCGACGAGGCTGACAGGATGTGCAACCAGAGCATAACATCTCGGCGATGGAAACGCGATTTACAGTTGTTGGCTTATGGAGTGAAACGCATCTCGCCAACTGGTCTCTGACCCAGCACTGAGGTTGGTCCCTATTCATGCCGCATGTTTGAGATGGGACGGATCGTGGATGAGCGCGAACATGCCACGTGCCATGACGTAAGACACTTTTTTTTACCTGATCGGGCTGTATATCAGATATGTCTCCCATCGGTACGGTTTGCCTGGGCAACCAATGGCTGGCAGATTGCGTCAGGGAGGGTTTCAGGATTCAGCGCAGGAGGTGAGAATCTTGCGCGCGAAAGGGGAAGAGTTGTGACTTCATGGGGGGTGAAGGCTGCCCAATCCTCCCTGGGTGATTTCCAATTTAGATGCTTATTACAGCGCAACCAGGAAAATATCGATGGCAGGATTTTGATGATAAGTTACTCGTAGTCTGTACGCAGAGGGCACGGTGTGCGCGGTGTGTGTTCCTCCCCCGGCTCAGCATCCATGGAATCACGGTCCGACCACCTTGGAAGAGCTCTGATGCTGTAGCATGTAGGCAACGTGGAATTGGACTGGGGTCAGCCGTTCCACGGGGACCAGACCATGGGCATCAGGATGCATGGAAGCTGTGGGCATCCGTCGGGCCCCCAAGGCGCGTGAAACGAAGCGTGAGTCGGCGAGTCAGCCAGGCCATCCATCTCGATTTGGGAGCTCTCCCAGAGCCAAGGTTGTTTCATGCTCTGGGTCGACGATGGTGCCTGGCGGATGATCGACGCCCGGTGCTGCAGGAGGCACCCATCCACTCTCTCAGAGTCTGGACAGGTCGATATGTTGGGGCAACTGGAGCTCTGGAGATGCTGTTGCGGCCGTTATGACCCTGTTTGTTCATTTCTCAACCACTCTTCCCTGGCCCCGGGAAAGGTTTTTTTTCCCCATCCTGTTGGGAGGAGACCAGGGGCCCCAGGGACGCGTTACAAACACTCGGGCGCGGAAAACCCGGTTTCATTGATTGTCTGATGAAGGAATTAGAAAGAAAACAAGCCGTTGCGAGATATCTTCGTTAGCTACCTAGGTAGGCATCAGGCTCAATTGAATCACCAGATTCATCGCACCGCCGTTGCCAATACTGGCAATTGGCTTCGGATTTCGGAGTGCCCGTCAGCCCTAAGAAGATGGAGGGTGGGCCGGACATGCAGCCGCTTGATAGATTCAAGAATCGGTGAGTTTAAGTGCCGCATCGTAGAATTGACGGCAATGACACTGGAGTTGCCATATTGCGCTGGACCACGTCCCGGGAGGAGTAAACGGGGCGAGGATAGGAATATTTAGGCCCGAAATGAGGACGAGATTGACGACGTGATGGAACACCCGGGCAAATACATAGACGACGTCCTAAGTACATGGGCAGGGTGCTTTGGGCCGGAACATGTACATCCATACTTGGACGGCAGGGCAAACAATTGCTCCTCTTGACTCGGTCTGGTCTGGTAGCAACCCGGCCTGGTGGTGCCACCCTCCTCTACGGCAACAGTCCGTCTATCCATAAATCTAACCACAACAGTTGAACCCGGGCTTCTTAGAATGCCGACGCCAACGGACGTATGTGAATGTGGTTACGACATGGCCCGTCCAGTTGCATGCCTAGCATCATCACATCGCATTAACACCCTGGTCAGTATTTAAGATGGTGTCTGTCTGCTGCTTCAAAGCTACGCTGGGCCTTGCCTTAGCTCGTCTGGATGCGTGCTGTCGTATTGTGGCCTGGCCTGGCCGGGATCAGACCTGGCGCAATCCCATTTCTTCACTTCTTGCGAGGGCCTCTTTGCTCTTTGCCCTTTCCTCCCTCGCCTAAGCAGGCCAGCAGCGCAGGTCGGACTAAGGCATGGCCGGTATCAACTAAAGCAACTTCGCGACGTGAGTGAAGCCCGCCGAGGTGACAGATCATCCTTCATGCCAGAGCTGTCTAGCCCCTAAACCGAGCCCTACCCCCTGCCCGGGCCCCTGTCGACGTGGTAGCTGTTTCCCCACAGAAGGAAAGCCTTGACCCTACCTTGGCTGCAGACCTCGAGCCCGACCGGGTGGTGGCCCAGTCTCAATTTTTCCCATCCATCCATCCCTCTGGTTACTATCATCCACATCGCATGGTGAGGTGCGGTACTAAGGCAGGCAGACCACCGACCTGCTCATTTGCTGCCAGCCTGCGTCTGACTCCCAGCATATACGCCGGAGGCACCGAGTTGGCTTCTGCATTGATCCCCCCACAAGACA